AAGGTAACTGGGTTATAGAAATTACATTTATTTTTATTAGCACTGATATGAGACAGTAAAATGTTTAGTGAATCAAAGACTAGATTAGATACCTCGATTTCTTGAACATGGCAGGTCAGATTTTCCGAGCTAATGAAATACTGGCCCTTGATATTAGTTTTTCTGCAAGGACGTTCTCGAAGATCACAAAGTCCTCCGTTGTAGATGCTGCGGTTGAATGACATTTCACAGTAATTGCTTGTCAAAGATTTTATAGTTATTGCAGATATTGGTGTTATAATAAGTTCTTCATACTTACCCCAGTACTTCAGGTACTGCACCAACCTCCATGGAACAGTCCAGTGCAGTGTAACCTTCGTCACATATACAGGTTCTGTTCTTACACTTGCCACGTCCACTACAGTCTGATGGACACAGGTCTTTTACTAATTCTGTAGGAGGTACTAAGTCACCATCTGGACTTTTTGTGTAGAGTGAAACATTCTTGAAAATAGCATCTTTACACTCGTAAGCCATAAAGTCAAAAGCTGAATACGCATATGCTTGTTCTCCAGTTAACTGAAAATGTCAAGTTTTATTTGAGTTTTTAAGGTGGCTGCCTACTTTTGAACGTTCGATTTGAGCCCACGATGATGAGCGCGCACTCAAAAACCGCTGAAAAATCTACAAGATTTTATTGAAAAACCATACGCACTTTGAGCTTCAACGGGGCAAACCCCTCAAATTTTGCACGGGACTCTCTATTTTTTAATAGCTTATTTGAATAAACTCCTAAAAATCTAGGTTATGTCAACATTTTAGAAAAAGTTAGATATTCTAACACATGAAAAAATAGATTTTTGTAGGGAATTTTGTTCGAACTTTATGAGATTTTCTAAGAGCACCGAAACTACAAAATATGACAAACCAATGTATCTCTTTATCTTTTTGTCAAAAATATCCACGTATTGTTTCTGGAATGATTGAATAGCCTTCATTCGTGCAATCATAGAGTCTGCAAATAACTATTATCTTATGAATCTTAATTTTTTCTAATCACTTCCGGTGGCTTTTGCTCCAAGAGCTCGCGCTTAGGCTTCCATTTAATGCTGATTATCTCGAAAACAACCTCGGGACACCCAATTTTTCTTTCCAGATTTGGAATCAGCATTAAATTCCAATTCGGAAAATCGAAGTTTTAAAAAAAGTTTAATATTTTTTCCAAAAGTAGGCAGTCACCTTAAGTGAAAAGTATAGCGCAAGTTAAAACATGTTTTAGTCATTCTGAGTGTAGAACGATTAGTAATCGTTCGCAAGTACGACTTTACCTCTAAATCAGCAATACATTGTTCCATTGCAATTCCAATGCTTGCACCTGAAACATCTTTGCATGACCTTCCTGCATTCGTATCCTCTATATGACTTCTACAATAGTCGGTTGCTTCTTTGTTTGACATCACTATCTTGAGTGATCTCTTGTTTCGTATTCGGTTCATAGCGTGCTGTACTTGTGGATCATCTACAAAGTAGCTACGAGGTTCATGATCAATGATGTCATCACTGTACCAGTCAGTGTGTGCGAATCTCTTCTTCTTCTTCTTCTTTTGCTCAGGGTCATCGGTTTGTTGTTTGTTATCTTCCGAGTCAAAATAGTAACTTCCTACTGTATTACAGTCTGAACTTTTCTCTTTAGCTTCTTTTGGAAAACATGTGCAAAACATCCCATCATCATCTATTTGCGCGGGAAACTTATTCGGATAAGTCTCAAAATATGTCTTCCCGAAAATTCTGTCAAAAGTTTTAAGAAAATAAATTACACCCCATTATTATGAGCTATCTAAAGGCTACTAGCTAAACATCAGACGCTTGGGTTTTGGGCTTCCAACAACCAATGGACTTGGACGTATTTGAAAATGGATATCAGTTTTCGATTCAGTTAATCCGGAATGGATTTGTGAAATTTTAAACCTTTTTAAAACGGTTTGTATTGAGCGTGCTACTTTATATGTTTTCATTACTTACTCCCAAGTACTCCCAAAGAGTTGGTGCCCCGGTATTCTTGAGTCTTCATAGAGTTTACCGTCACTCCCCTTTAGGTCATTATTTGGATCTCCATCAAAGTTACCACAAAGTCCTAAAACATTTCCTCTGTCAGTGTCTGGTGCTGTAATGAAAACGTCGATACCCCAATCTATACGAGACACTTTGACACGAGTACCTGACGGCAAAAAGACCTATAACATCATAAACTATGATCAGATGATAATGGAAAAAATACTCGATAATTCAATTAAAAAACTTAAAACATATCACTAGTTATTAATAAATGAAATACTACATTTTTTATCCAAAGTCCAGCTAAGCATGTCAGTGATTTTCACGCACTTACATCATAGACCATAGAGCTACCTTTGCTCTTTTTGACTATATGAAAGCCATTTTTGTTACGTCTTAACGTCATTGGAGTGAACTCAGTAGATTTATGAACAAGTACATCGTTACAAACTGATAAAACGACAATCTCATTTTTTTCTCGTATAGCGACTCCACAGTGACACGAAACTTGACTTTCACCACAAGTCCAAAGACGGGTTTGAACCTGAAAAATAAAGAAGGGAATCTTTGTCGTTATTTCAAAGATTTTATAGAAAATTTTTATATCTGTAATTATAAAGGCCTCTATAAGCTAAATGTAATACACATATTGGTAGCTTATACAGCTATTTAAAAAAAGGTTGAATACTGAATACTGAATACCGAATAGCGCATTTCAAGACCGAAGTGCATTGTGGGTCATAGTAATATTGTCTAAAGTAGGATTAATAATAATTAGTAGAGAGTTAATTGCTGTATATTTACTTTTTATTTCAAATTAACGAGACCCACAATATCCTTTGATCTTGGAATGCAGTATGCATTATTCAGTATTCAGTATCCAACAGATTTGGAAATAGCTTTATACACCTATTTCAAAAAACGTTGTCGGTTGGATATCTGAATTCAGAAATCTGTTTTTTAAAATAGGTGTACACGTAAGTTGTGTTTAGGAGGCTCCTGATTAGGATATTACATACCTCCACAGTTTTGTTGGCGTTGCTGTACATAAGATAGTTGCCAGGTTTGTAAAAATGGAAAACTCTAAAAGGAAAGGGCAGAGAGTCGGTTTTACTAATGACCTTTTACAGTATGATCATAGCTTAAATAACTTACTGAACTCGATGAAAACAAATACGAAAATGATACCAACAACAGCAACAACAACAAAGATGTACCCTTTCCTAACTTGCTTTATCGTTACGCCAACAATGACAACAATAAAGCAATAAAGCTATCGGATTAGTAGCCTTCACCTTCACCTATGACTTCGTGCCAACAGTTGGCACATAATTCTTCTGCCTTCCTTATTCATTACCTCGCCGAAAAGCACTAGGATTATTATTAGTGTCTATTATCATAGAAGTTGGTTATTTTATGCCAGTTGCGGTTTTAGATGAATTAACTTATTTATCTTTAAAAAAAGAGTGAAAGTAATAAATAAATATTTACTTTCCATCAAATGTCTTGTAATGTGGATCGCCAGTACCGGAGCAAGTTTTTATTTCCGTAGTATTAATCCATACCTTGGAAGAAAGAAGAAAAATGAATTCAATGAATTAAATAATGAGATTTATCCATGAGATTCATTCAGCTGATTGGACCAAGCATGATAACTGAATCACGGGCTACGGGGTGCATTTTGAAAACCAAAACCACAAACGATTTAAATAGAATTTACTTCATGTTTGTAATTCAAATGCTTAACCTTTTTTTCAAGAGAAGCATATGCTCATAATAGACCACAGGTCAGGTCACGTGACCCTATCCCCCTTAAAACGAGCAAATGTGTCAAAATTAACTCCAGAATGGAAAAGAGCACCTCAAATTAGGAAAAGGGCGAGGTTTCAGCTCTAGATGTTAACTACGTTTGAAATGTTTGAACGTTTGAAATGACATTAAATATAAAATCAAATATTTTACAAGGATTTGTATGGGAAAAAAGTCGGCTGCTGGTAGCCTTTGCCATCCAGCGCATTTTCCCATATAAATCCTTATAGAACATTCAATAATTTTATATCTAATGCTATTCCTCCTGTTTCGCTTATTATGAGCTGAAACTCCGCTTCCCTACTAATGCCGCATGCTCTTTTCATTTCCGTTTGTTATTTCGACAAAACTGCTCGTTTTAAGGGAGGTAGGATCATGCGACCTGTATTTTACAACGGTCTGCCGATATTAGTATTAAAGTGTCACGTGGTATACTTTGTGTTATATTCACCAAAATGTTCAGACATTGTCATCTGATTGCCATACGAATGTATGAACTTTTGAACAAATTATCAACATCAGTGATTCGTAAAAATAGCAAGGGCATTTTAAATATGGATGGTTTTGCTTTTTACAGAGCAAAATAAGCACATCAAATTGATAATAATTTGTTTAAAAACGTCCAAAAAAGTTGTGAACAGTAAAAGTTTCATTATTTTTTTTACCATTATACACGTATACATAGATATAGCTGTAAATGTACTTACAAGCAAAGCTGGCGGTCGATAATCTCTCCAAGGCAGATAAGTAGTTTCAGGTACAAAATAAAATCTTGATTGTGAAACACCATCGTTTAAGTTATTGCAGATTCCTTTAATTGTGATATCTTTTCCAGATGAAATGTCTTCTGTCTTTAATGTTACATTACAAGTATCTATAGCAGCTTTGTTTTGATTTTTATCTTTTTTAGGAACAAGAATCGATAGGGATAGGTAATCAACTTTTGGTGTGTAGGTATTGTTGTATATTGGAACTGTGGGTCTTAAGTTTATTGTCACATCGGAGTTTCTGTCACACTCTTTCACAACAATGTGTGTTACACGTGGAGTGATCTGTAAAAAAAATTCCTGATTTCAACTTGTGCTTTTAATCATTAATTTGTCAAATCATTCCCAACTTTAAGTTAATATCTATATTAAATTTTAATTCAAAAGTAGCAACGTACGTACCTCGATTCCAACGTAGAAATTGTTGCTGTACTTTGCAGCTGACCATTTGTTATCAGGACTTGTTGAATATTTCATTGAAATTCGACACTGCAGCTAAAAAATCGAACAATTTTATAATTTACTTCTCGATGATAGAAATAAAAAACATGTATTAAGCTTGAGATGAAGCCGACCCTAATCGCTTATACAAATACATGCTAGCCTCCCTTGGATGCACCAAAACAAAAAAATAGGCACCCACCGCATCATAAAAAATTGCAGAAAATATCAGTAAGTGAAGGCTAACTTTCTAGACTTTCTATTTTTGGGTCCAAAAACAAACAGACAAACAGACAAAAAGAATAATAACGAAAAGACACTTACATTTTGACCCATTTTAAAAGATCCATAGTTTACTATCGATTCCAAGTTTTTCCGATCGCACGTACTGTTCACACCTACGCACATCCATTGTGTACGAATCAATCGGCCATCCGCAAACCATTCCACAGCGTACGAAACGTTATTCCAAGGGGGGAAATGAAATTTGCAGCTCATGGCCAAAGTATTTATGTCTTTTACGTAATCAACCTTTGGGCGAGGCACACGGGTGTATGGAAACTTGACAATCTTCGAGACTGAAGAAATGTAAAATATTTGTTCTCGATCAATTTCAACTAGAAAAATATACAGATCGGTTCCCCAAACATTAACCAGCTTCGAAACCACCTAATAGCAAAAATCTGGCTGATGAACCACATTTTTTTAATGGTGGTCTCAAGTATTGTTATACAAATGGAGTCATCGTGGGCCCTTAATGTTACTTAGTGTGATGTTTACTTTGTGAAATATTTGTTCAATTTTCAATATTTCAATATTGGAAGAGATATAGATTACCATTACAGTTGGGTTCTATTCCAGTCATTCCTCTTGGACACGGAGTCTGGTTGCCTTTGAAAACAAAAAAGGTCAATATATAGAGGCTTACTTAAAAGCCAATCAGAACGCGTCAGTGATTTCAAGGATACCAAACCTAAGGGGGAAATATTTACTGTTCGTACGTAGTCTATGGACTCGTTTATTTCATAAGTAACACTGAGTTTTCTGTCTAAGATATGTTAAGTTGAGATCTATTGGAAATGACAAGTAAGCGTTCGTGTGTCTCACTAGATCCCACCTGCACAATACGCCATGGCACATCCACGCACAGGTGAAAGCCTATAGATATAGAAATCTTCACCATCTTGACCATCACCGCCGTCGCAGTATTTGACCGACATCGAAAACTTTCTTTTACATCCACCTGCCAGATTAAAGAAATTGACACATGCAGTAGCATGTATTTGTTCCCCCTTAGTCTTTGGCAGCTCTCCTTTCATCCAGATCGGTGCAATAGTGTTACAGTAAAAGGGTTCCGGCTTGGTAGTTGGTATTTGTCCACCAACAATACTTGTAAATCTATACCATCCTTTGCTCAGGTCGTAGTCACAATTTGCTCTCATTCCTGCCTTTAGCCTGCTTTTAGTGCTTCGGTATGGATCGTTGATCTCTTGGTACGCCTTGCATGGATCAACATCATTCAYCTGAGTACCCCGAGTGCCTATGAAGAAACTTGAGACAACAAATACCAGGAAAAAGTGAAATAAGCTATTCAAAAGCTTCGGCTCCTTCACAGATCTGAACTGCATTTTTCACTGTTTACTGTCCGAGAGCTCAAGGTAGACTAAGCTGGACCAAATTGAAGAAAGTACTTATTACAGAAATGTAATATTTATTTGGAAGAAATCCARGGATATGGTAGATGAGRAAAGAGGCTTATTCTTTATYATTTTTTACTTGACATGGAGTCTTCAGAAGTCAAAAAGTTAAGAATATCTATTTTCTGGATTTATATTTCATTGTGTTGTTTTATTTTTAACTTTGTGAATAACAGCGATTGTGAAGGGCTTTGAGGTGAATAGTTTACCATTCTACCTCCTCATTTGCATATTCGAGATCCCGTGAGATAGCGCATGCGTAGTGAAGTTCATCTTGCGTTTGCGTTC